CAGAAGCACTATAGGGAAAGACCAATTAAAAGTATGAGTTAGATAATGCAAAATAATATTGAATGTACACTGTAATTAAAAAAAGTTAAAGCAAAATAAAACCCACAAAACTCTTAAAAAGTCAGTATGAGGTAGAAATCCAGCTTTTGGAATAATGTGTAAAGAGGCAGAAAATATTACAGAATAATGTGTAAATATTACTTGTATAACAACTGCCTCAGCTGGAAGAGCTGCCTCAGACTTTTATTGAGAAGGAGTCTCTAGGGAAACCTAAAGACAACACAGGAGCTAAGAAAAAAGTATATTTTAGTTACTACCACATATACTTATGGAAAACAGTAAATAAAATGTAATTTCTCATCAGATGAATACAAAACCTCACACTAAAAGCCAATTTACCTCAGTTCCTATTATCTGACAGTTATGCCCAGCTATTAACAAAAAATTATAAGGAACATTCAAAGGTGAAAAACACAGTCTGAAGGGACATAGCATCAGGCTCAGCTATGGCAAAGGTTTTGGAATTATAAGAGTAAGAATTTAACATAACTATAATTAATATGCCAAGGCTCAAGTGGACAATGTAAAAACAGATACATAAATGTAAGCAGAGATATAATCCCTAAGAAAGATTCAAAAGGAAATGCTAGAAATCAACAACCTGATAACAAAAATGAAGAATGCCTCTGATCAGCTAATCAGCAGACTAGACATGGATGAAGAAAGATCAGTGAACTTAAAGATATGTTCATAGAAACTCCTCAAATTGAAGAGCAAAGAACTCTCCGCACATGAACAGGCCTGGCAGAGAGTCACACACTGGATTGCTGATACCTCTGACAGATTGACCAGGGCCAGTCAGTCACAAGCAGCATTTGAAAAAGGCCTACACCAGAGTCTTTATAGATCCACCTAATATATTAAAAAAAAAAAAAAAAAAAAACAACAAAGAAACAGCCAAAATGGGAAGACAAAGAAACAGACACCACAAGAAAAAAAAAGGATAATTCTCCAGAAGAGCTAGATAAAACTAAGGCAAACAATTAACAATAGAGAATTTAGAATAAGGCTCATAAGGATACTTGACAGCATGAAAAAACATAAGAGAGGACCAGTCAGAAATAAAGAATGCAGTATCTGAAATAAATAATACACTGGGAAAAATAAACAATAGGTTAGATGAAGTAGAGGACCCAATCAGTGATTTAGAAGATGAGGTAGAAAAAACCACCTGGGTAGAGCAGCACAAAGAAAAAAGAATTTAAAAATAATGAGGATTGCTTAAGAACCATTTTGGACAACATGAAGTGTAACAACATCCACATCATGAGAATACTAGAAGAAGAAAGTGAGCAAAGGATCAAGAACCTATTTGAAGAAATAATGACCGAAAACTTTCCTAATCTGGTGAAGGAAAAGCCATACAAGTCTGGAAGCTCTGAGTCCCAAATAAGTTGGACCTACATTGAGACACATCATAATTAAAATGACAAAGTTTAAAGACAAGGAGAGAATTCTAAAAGCTGCAAGAGAAAAGCAAGTAAGTTACATTCAAGGGAGCACCCATTAAACTGTTATCTGATTTCTCGACAGAAACATTTCAGGCCAGAAGGGAGTGGTATGAAATATTCAAGGAGATGAAATGCAAGGACCTAAAATCAGGGCTACTTTACCCAGCATGGCTATTATTTAAAATCAAAGGATAAATAAGGAGCTTCCCAGATAAGAAAAAAGTAAAGCAGTTTGTTAATACAAGATTAGTACTATAACAAATGTTAAAGGACATGCTTTAAAAAGAACAAAAAGAGGCCCTGGCTGGCATAGCTCAGTGGATTGAGCACGGGCCTGCGAACCAGAGTATTGAGGTTCGATTCCCAGTCAGGGCACATGCCTGGGTTGCAGGCCAGTTCCCAGCAGGGGACGCATGAGAGGCAACCATACATTGATGTTTCTCTCCCACTCTTTCTCCTTCCCTTCCCCTCTCTTGAAAAATAAATAAATAAAATATTTTTAAGAAAAAGAGAAAAGAAAAATAGAACATGTCTAACAATAACATGGCAGTAAATATGTACTTATCAATAATCACCTTAAATGTAAATGGCTTAAATGCTCCAGCCAAAAGACAGAGGGTACCTGAATGGATAAGAAAACAAGACCCATATACATGCTGCCTCCAACCGACCCATCTCAGATCAAAAGATACACACAGACTAAAAGTAAAGGGATGGAAAAATATATTTCATGCAAATGGAAAAAAAAGCTGGGGTAGCAGTACCTATATCTGCAAATAGGCTTTAAAACCAAGGCTACAGTAAGAGACAAAGGATACTACATAATGATAAAGAGAACAATCCAACATGAGGATATAACCCTAGCAAACATTTACACATCCAACATAGAAGCAACTAAATATGGGAAGCAAATCTTGATGGCCATAAAGGGAGAGATTGATAGAAATATAGTCATAGTTAGGGATTTAAATATCCCACTGACTTTAGTGGATAGAAAATCAACAAGGAGACAGAGCCTTAAAGGACACACTAAATAAAATGGATTTCATTTGATATCTTCAGAGCATTTCACCCCAAAGCATCAGAGTATACATACTTTTCAAGTGCACATGGAACATTTTCTAGGATAGACATGTTAGGACATAAAACAAGTCTCAGTAAATTTAAGAAGACTGAAATCATATCAAGTATTTTATCTCACCACAATGCTATGAAACTACAAATCAATCACAAGAACACTGATAAACATGCAAAGACATGGAAGCTAAATAACATGTTGTAAACAATGAATAGGTCAACAAGAAGATTAAGGAAGAAATCAGAAGATACCTTGAAACAAGTGAAATTGAGGATAAAACAATCCAAAATCTGTGGGACATTGGGAAAGCAATCCTAAGAGGAAAATTCATAGCATTACAGGCCTATCTCAAAAAAAAATAAGAAAAAGCTCAAATACTTTACACTTAAAAGAAACTTGAAAAATAACAACAAAGTCCAAAGTGAGTAGAAAGGAAGGAGATAATAAAGATCAGAGCAGAAATAAATTAGATAGTAAAACAAAACAAAAACAAACAAATGAAAAAAAAACAGATACAAAAGATCAAGAAATCCAAGAGATACTTCTTTGAAAAGATAAACAAGATTGACAAAACTTTAAAAAGACTCATCAAGAAAAAAGAGCACGGACCCAAATAAATACAATCAAATGAAAGAGGGGAAATAACAACTGACACCAAAGAAATACAAAGGATTATAAGAAAATATTCTGAACTCCATGACAACAAAAATCTATACCTTGGCACATCATATTCACAAAGCAAAATACCAAAGAAAAATTATGTAAAACTATTTGTGGCATAAGGTTAGCCATTCCCCATTCTCTTTTGGGAATTCGCCCAATAGCAAAAATGAAAGAAATCCTAAACTCTGATAAAATTAGAAGACCCCTTATGATCTGAACCATAATATAGGTGAAAGGAATACATTATCAGTGGAAACTGACAAAAGGTATACAAAGAAGCATGGCACAGGCACACAGTTTACAGATTTCAGACAGCCTGTGAAGTACACTGTTCCAAAGTAAACACATACTGAGGTGCAAACCCTAAATCCCTGGTCTGAAACAGCAAGAGCCTCCCTCAATCTGAAATAGCTCCAAAAATAGAAGTGATGAGGTTAAATAAAGAATCACAAGATAAGCAGTATGTGCAGGAAGCAAAGTAAAAGTAGTTTTTGCTTGCTCACTTGGGGGAAAAAAGCAAGGCTTAAAAAAAAGCTTTAATCACAGGAGATATTCCTAGTAGCCTTGAACTTGATGTAGGATCAAGTTCTCTAAAATCTCAGTGTGAATCATTTGCAAAAAGCCTATCAAGGAGCCTGGACTGGTGCCGATCAGTTGTCTGAATGTCATCCTGCAAAATGAAAGGTTGCCGGTTCGGTTTCTGGTCAGTGCACATGCCTGGGTTGTGGACCCAGTCCCCTGTTGTGGGAGTGAAAAGGAAGCTGATTGATTTTTCTCTCACAAACTGATGTTTCTTTACCTCTTTCTCCCTTCCATCTCTCTAAAAATAAATAAATATAATCTTTAAAAAAAGCTTAGAAGAAATAAATCATCTTAATACAGGAGAGTAAGAAAAAGGTACCGGATCACTTTCTACTTCCAACCATGATAGAACAAGGACCAGATTTATGCACCTGCTGTAAACAACTAAAACACTAGACGAAATACAGGAAACAACTGTTTCAGACACTGGACAAGATGGCACAGGACTATATTCACTGAGAGAAATAAATGAAGTCAGTCTTAAAACTGACCCAGCTTAACTTTCTGAATAGAAAAATTCCATACCAGATGGTATCTTTTTTTTTTTTAAACACAGAATAACATTACCTGAATTGGACCTCTATTAGGCAAATATAAATATAAAAGAGAAAATATGTGGATTTAAGACCCATCTTACATATGAACTGAGTTTATGACAGTATCACAATCATTTTAAACAAATGTCGTATCAATACCCAACTTAAGACTATTTTTTAGCCTTGGCTGGTGTGGCTAAATGGATTGAGTGCCAGACTGCAAACCTAAAAGTCACTAGATTCCCTGTCAGGGCAGATGCCTGGGTTGTGGGTCAGGTCTCCAGTTAGGGGCATGTGAGAGGTAAATGACTGATGTTTCTCTCACACATCAATGTTTCTCTCCGTTTCTCCCTTCCCCTCTCTCTAAAAATAAATAAAGAAAATCTTTAAAAAAACCACTTTTTGAGAAAAGATGATTTTAACAATGTGGGTGAAGTATTTTTTTTGAATCTTTTAATGGGCAGACTGGTCAATCTAAGATGGCAAAATGAAAGACAGCCAAGAAGAAACATTTTATACTCAGGATTTGGGGGGGGGGGCGTTGAAGAGAAATAATGTGAAATAATCACAATTATTCAAGTTATGACTTTACTGTCCATCAAGTATCATTTTAAGATAATAAACAAATACCTGTCTCTTCCTAGAGCGATGATTTTTAGAAGTTTCTGGCTGATTGTTTAAAACACTCATTCTCTTTCTTTCGGTCTCTTGTTTGTCTTTCTGTGTCCTTCTTCTACCTAAAAGTAGGAATACTGCCATCAAAAATTGTTTTACATTAAAAGAAAAAGAGGAATTATATATTTAAAGCCACCATGAAATTCCCACTTATATTTTTAGCTTTTTTTAAAGAAAAAGAATTCTATGTGCTTAATTTTTCTCCCCCTTCAAATTTCAAAACAGCACGGTACAGTCCCTCCCTCTTTCTTATTCAGAGTTCAATAAGACAAGAAATACATGCATCTGTAACTGAAAAGAAATAGAACTATAATTATTGAAAGAGAATTTTTTATACAGAAACTAAAAGAATCAACGAATAGAATTAAGAAGAGTTTAACAAGATGGTTAGATAAATAATTATTTGACTGTTTGATCAATAAACAAAACTCAATAGTATTTCTGTACATTAGCAACAATTAAAATATGTAATTAAAAACTAAAGATACTGAAAGATAATATTCACAATATAACAAAAAAGATAACATTCTTAGGGATAAATCTAGCAAAAGTAGTCAAGATCTATGTATAGTTAACTTAAAATGTTTTACTATATATGTGTGTTTGTATACACATTATAAGAAAATATATATACAGAGGACAATATAAATAGAGAAATATCCACAGAAAGACAATTATGTTAGTTGTCTGAAAATTATCTATTGTTACAATGCAATTTAAATAAAAATTTCAACAGGGTTTTTAGAATTTAACACTATTACTCTAAAACTCTATGTGTTAAGAGAGGTAGTCCATCAGGGCCCTGAAAATCCCTACAGCTTTTGTGAATGTACAAGGATTGATTATTCATTTCCTGCTACCAAGTAGTTTCCGCGGTTAGTAAGACAGGCAACGAAGTAGGTCAAAGGAACAAATTTATTTTAGTTTAGAATTATAATTCTTAGCCATTTTATAGCAATAGATGTAGAAAAACGTTGGAACTCCAGCAACATGAAGCAAATATTTGAGTTTAACTTTACCGTCTTTAAAATGAGGATGATGATATCTATGGATGTAAATATTTTTGAGTTGTAATTTACAAGTATTAGCTAATAGAGGCCATGTTATCAGCTATCAACTATGAATGTGTTCAATTAATATTTACTGCAGTGTTACTATGTGTCCAGCATCAAGCTGGTACATCTATGATTTTTATAGTGATCAGTGTATTTAGGTATGAATCAACAAGGTTTTAAAATCCCTACATAACTGTAGTATCTACAATATGGTGTCAGTTCAATAAACATTGATTGAATGCATACATGGTAAGAAGGAACTTTTAATCAAATTATAATTTAAAATAATGACAAAAATTATGGACTGTTTTTTAAGATTTTGGGTTATTGTTGCTTGTTTCTTAAATCAATCTAGCAATGCCTTTAATAAGGATAATAAATTCTGAATGCAATGAGGATGGCTAGCTTCTATATGCAGTTAAGTTTCACTGCAGTGTTGTTGGCCATGAGTTCAATGTTAATGAACATATTATATATATTAAATAAGGTATCTTTTAACAGAAACACATAAAACAAGGCTATGTATTGACCAGTTGACAAAAATGGGTGACCAAGAGGCTCCAAGAAACCTACCCCTATACTGCCCCATGATGTCTCATTATTCACTAATTCAGTACTCGTGGAGCCTTCCTAGAACATAACTACCGCAAATAACAAGAATCAATTATATTTATGTTTTAGACAAGTAACTATGTCAAATTGCTACATAAAGTTTAAATAGAAAAGTAGTGTACCATTATACCAAAGTACTCTAGGTCATCAAAGCTCCAGAAAAAATACAACTAAGCGATGAAGAGATAGCCAACCTATCAGATGCACAGTTAGAAAACACTGTTAATCAGGATGCTCACAGAATTGGCTGAATTTGGTTGCAAATTAAATGAAAAAAAAAAAAAAAAAATGAAGGCTATGCTGTGTGAAATAAAGGAAAATGCACAGGGAACCAATAGTGATGGGAAGAAAACTGGGACTCACATCAATGGAGTGGACCAGAAGGAAGAAAGAAACATTCAACCAGAACAGAATGAAGAAACAAGAATTCAAAAAACTGAGGAGAGGCTTAGGAATCTCTAGGACATCTTTAAACATTTCAACGTCTGGATTATAGGGGTACCAGAAGCAGAAGAAGAGCAAGAAATTAAAAACTTAATTAAACAAGTAATGAAGGAGAACTTCTCCCATCTGGCAAAGGAAATAGACTTGCATAAAGTCCAGGAAGCTCAGCGAGTCCCAAAGAAGTTGGACCCAAGGAAGCAGACACCAAGGCACATCATAATTACATTCCCCAAGATTAAAATGAAGGAGAGAATCCTAGAAGCAGCAAGAGAAAAGGGGACAGTCACCTACAAAGGACTTCCCATCAGACTGTAAGCAGATTTCTCAAAACAGACCTTACAGGCAAGAAGGGGCTGGAAAGAAGTATTCCAAGTCATGAAATCCAAAGACATACATCTGAGATTGCTCTATCCAGCAAAGCTTTCATTTAGAATGGAAGGGCAGATAAAGTGCTTCTCAGATAAGGTCAAGTTCAAGGAGTTCATCATTACCAAGCCCTTATTATATGAAATGTTAAAGGGACTTATCTAAGAAAAAGAAGATAAAAAATATGAACAGTAAAATGACAGCAAACTCAGTTATTAACAACCACACCTAAAACAAAAATAAAAGCAAACAACTAGAACAGGAGTAGAACCACAGAAATGGAGGTCACATGGAGAGTTATCAATAGGGAAGTGGGAGGGGGAAAGCGGGAGGAAAGGTACAGAGAATAAGTAGCATAGAAGGTAGGTAGAAAATAGACAGGAGGAGGGTAAGAATAGTATAGAAAATGTAGTAGCCAAAGAACTTATATGTATGATCCATGGACATGAACTAAAGGGGGGTATGTGGGTGGGAGGAGTGTGCAAGGTAGAGGGGAGTGAAATGGGACAACTGTAATAGCATAATCAATAAAATATGTATTTTTAAAAAGTACTCTAGGCTAGGCAGTCAGAATAGCTAACTTTCTAACTTAGCTACCACTTCTAATTAACTCTGTCCAGTCATGACATTTAATCTCTTTGTGCTTCAGTTTTCTGAAGTGTTTTTGTGTGTTGTGGTGACAAGGTCAAAGATTGGCTTGCTTTGAGAACACCTCAATTTTCCACTTTTAAAACATTAATAAGAGTACTCACTTTTAAGAACTTTTTTTCTTTCTTCTTCCTCACTAGAATCTTGTTGGTGGCAATCATGTTGTGAGTTAGATAAGAAGAGATTCTTGTGAGACCTAAAGGAAACATCAAAGCTTGTAACTGGTTCCATAAAGACTAGAAAAGCCATGGAAAAAGGGAGGTGATTTGTCTCCTCTGTTCTTGGACATTCTTCTACTTTGACCTGTTTCCTTCCATGTTCTCCTGGCTTAGTGTTCCACCTTAACCTATGGCCTTTTAGAGTTTTGTTATCATACTTCTCTTTCTCCCACCACCTACTTTCTCCATCTCATTTACTCAGTAATCAAGATTCTTTTGGTTTTCCAATTAAACAGATCAAGTAAAAGAAATTTCAGAGTGTAAAGCATTAACTTTCATTCTCTCCTATGGCTTATAAGTTTATTTCCCCAAAGAGAAATTCCAAAATTCCTTTATACAGAATGGCAGATACCACTTGATTATCTTTATAACTTCAAAAAAAAAAAGGCTTTTTTTGAAAGGTAAAGGCTGTTTGGAAATACTGGATGTGGCATAATTTTTTGGCAACCCTAAAAAGTTGGTATTATTCCAGTTTTATAAAGGAGCAAACTATGATGATAAAATAGTTAAGCTCAGGCAGCTATTTTATCACCACCTAAAATCAATACTTTCACCCCTGTAAGTGCTGTATGCAGCCTGCTAATCCTTTCCTTCCCTCTCGAAACTTTCTCCTGTGCCCTCTGGAATGCCATTTATAGCCTCTTCACTTTGTTCAACACATAGCTCTCCCTTGGGGACAACATTTCTATCCTTTATGGCTTTCACAAGTAGAGACTGACTTACTCTTCCACCTTCCTTGAGCCATAGGTTCCCAGAGGTGGGTCTCCTGTAAATAAATGCCACTTTCAGGATCTTGCTTCCACAAAGACCTTAGCCTGTGAGAACTTAGGCCACTGAGGTGTACCGCCCACTACCACTGATCAGTCAATCACCATCCTTCCAAGCATTTCTCACCATTCACAGATCCCTCGGTTCCTAACTACTGCTTTTATCATGAGTTATTTCAGAGTCCCCATAGATAACCCAACAAGCTCCTCCCCATTCACGTAGACTTCCTGCTCTCTAAACATGTGACATTGTCTGTTACAGCATGTATAGTAGGTTAAATGCAGTTTTTCAAGTAATTTCATAAAATAAAATTTGTAACATTCATCAGAAACGTTAACCTCCAACCCCTCCTGCCTCAGCATCATATTCTTGTTTCAATGGCAGAGGAAGAATTTACTAAACATCTGCTTTAAGTTCAAGTGCTCCCTGAGTGTGTATTCTAATAAGGGCATTGTAGGGACAATGGGAAATAACTCAGGGTCCCAGAGGCAGGTCTCTAGAGAAAAAATTTTAAGAATGCAATAAAAAGAAACATTTAGTAAGAATAGTACTTTCCACAAGTCAATTTAGTAAAAATTTCAATTTGTACAAAGTATCTTTGAGAAAGAAATTCTGCTACCATTGGGACATATATTGTCCATTACAACATGGCTAATTTTTGCCAGATATGCTTACCAGAGATAGTAAATCAAGCTTTCCCAAACACAATTTAAGCAGAATCAATGCTGTAATCAAGCATTCATAGTGTCACTCTTTAAAAAACTCCTCCATGGATCTCTATTTCTATTCAAGTTTAATTTCTTGTCCTCTTCACCAGCCTCTAACTGAATTTTTTAAAAAATCCCTCCCCTTTGTGACAGTTAAAATTAGCTCCCACAGACACTGCAGACCTCATACCACCATGGACTCGCTGCAACTACTCTCTCCTGAAACAACATTTCCTCTTCCAATTACCTGTTAAAATGTTAACCACCCTCCAAGGCCCAGCTCAGTGCTCACACATCCTTGAAGGTGTCCATATCAAGTCTTTCAGCATGTGAGTTCACCTTCAACCCAACGAATTATGTAATGTCTGCCACTGTCTCATTTCATCTATAATTGTTATGGTCTCAAATAGTTTGTAAACTTTATCAGAGCAAAATATTTATTTCATCTAGTACTGATAGCATAAGGTCTTCATGTTTCCTAGCATTTGTCTGACCTCCCAGTCACAATTCTGATTCTATTTGCTTCCAAGATGCTTGATTTCTGATTTCTACTTTGTGCCTAGTTTTGGTTTTGCCCTGTGTCCAGCCCACTACAAGTTTTATTGTATGACTAGTAATGAATGAGGTACCAAGGATACAAACCCCTCAAAGAATTCTCAATCTAGTGAGAGATACAAATAGGTAAACAGATAAGTTACTATCCAAGGTAAGTCCCTTTACATAGGTGTGACTTGATGCTATGGAAGCACAGAAGTGACAACTCTGGTCAGAGAGCTAAAGAAGACTGTTTTATAGGTGATTTTTGAGCTAGACCTTGAATGGCAAGTATTTTCAGAATAGAAAATAGGAAATTCAAAATTGAAGCAAGGATCAAGGCATAAAGAAGCTTGTATTTCAAGATGAGGGAGAAGTTCTGGTTGCTAGAAAGTATGGTATATGTGGACGGGGAAGGGTTAATGCTTAGGGACAAGGTTATTTATAGGGGGGAAAAACCAAAACAGAAAGGTGCTATGTAAGGCTTTATAAGCCATGCCAGTAAGTCCTAACTCATCTAGTAAGAAATTGAAAGCCAATAGAGGTTATTAAGCTTAGAAGTATTTAGACAGACTTGTTTTCATGGGTAGCTAACTCTGGAAGTTATGTTATGAATGGATTTGTGTGGTAGAAAGCTATGCAATAATCTAGGATATAAATGATAAGAAAGGATAAGTTAGAGAGACATTTCTGATGTGGGATTCACAACACTTGGGAAGATAATTGGATGTACAATGTGAAGGAAAGTCAGGGTACAGAGAAATGAGAACAAGAATTCTGTTTTACACACTGATTTACTTTGTATCTAGGAGACATTTGAAATAGTGTATGGTACTACATAAGGAGGGGACATAAGACATGTTCATTATCTGTAAGAATAATGGTAAGTTTGAATTCTGTTTTATTTTAAAGTAGTATTACACGAGGCAGAAAGACTGGGCCACACGAATGTATTAGGTCTTAGTATTGCTAAACTCTGATTTCATAAACAACGTGAAACAACTGAACCAATAAAAATAGTATCTGTACTTCACAAAATGTGTCTTAGAAAAACTAAGTGAGAACTAGCACTTTAGAAGAGATTTTGGGGAGATGACAGTGAGGAGCAGATCCTGTTCTGATAGCAGGCACAAGAGAGATTATAAGACGACTGAGCTCAGTCCTGAGGTGTGATCCAGGCCACATCCACAGAACTTGGACCCAAATCCCCACCTCTAAATAAATAGTTAAGATGGGGAACCTGCCCTGGCTGGATGGCTCAGTTAGTTGGAGCGTCATCTCTTACACCAAAAGGTTGTGGGTGCAATCCCCGGTTAAAGGCACATACCTAGGTTGTGGGTTCAATCCCTGGTCGAGGCATGTGCAGGAGGCAACTAATCAATGTTTCTTTCTCACATAGGTGTTTCTCTCTCAAATCAATGATAAAAAAACGAAAACGAAAACAAAAACAAATCTTTGGGTGAGAATTTAAAAAAAAATGGGGAAACTTCAGCATTCAAGTCAATGGTCCCAAGAAAAAAAAAGTTAATATTACATCCATTGCCAAATATATCCATCCAGAGACCATAGGATGAGTATTTGGCCTTGGGTTAAGGGTGGAACAATAGAGAGAATGGGTCACAGATTCACCAGAAAGGAAGATCTTTATAATGGTTGAGTTTATATTATTGATAGGGTTAGCTTCTAAAGCCAAAGCAAAGGTAAAATCAATTTTGTAAAAGTTAACCTTACAAACCCCTTAAGAAGAAATAACTCTGGAGACTGAACTCTGGTCTCCCAATATGTATGACTGACACAGCGGTTTCCCTCCAGCACTGGAGCAAACCGACCAAGCAGGCTGGCTTACCCTTACAGATGTATGAGCAGTGTCTTAAATACTAGAATACTCCTCAGTACAAACAGTCACATAATGTGGCCAAGTGGGACCTGAGAACTAAGTGGCACAGATGATTTAGGTTTCCAGCCTCAGTACTGTTCCAGGGCACAAATCTACTGAGAACGGTAAATATCACACTATCTAAACCGTGTATTTTCACTACTCTTGCTTTAGAGTAGTGAAACATATAACAAAATTTTGCATAAGTCATGAAACAAAATAATTCTGCACACTCTGAATCACCAAAAGTTCATCATCATCAAGAAAATATACTCAATGTCCAATAATTATTTTTATTAATAATGGCTCACTTGTATCACTTTTACATAAAGATATTACATTCATATGATAAAAAATTATCAATGGATTTACAAACCTTTTGCCTATATCCAAATCAGCTTGAGTTTCCATGTCAACGTCAGTACCATTAGGCTTCTCTTGAGGAACTGTTCTTGCTCTTTTACTTTCTACTACTTTTGCTGCTGCCTAAAAAAGGGGATTGGGGAGAGAAAGAAATGCTTTAAGCCATTTTAAACAAAAAACATTAAATTAAAGCGAATTCTTTGATAGTTGTAACGAAAGTACCTATTCACAAGCCAATCAAGGGCACTACGCAGCTATTTGACCCAGTAACTGACATTACCTGCAGCTACTTTAGATACCTGCTTATGGAGATCTTTTCTTGTAAATCTATGTTATACACACAATGTTCTCTTGGCAATTTTAAGATAAAAGGTCACTTTAAAAAATCCAGATATTTTAAAATAAAAGTACCCCAAATTAATCAATGCTCCATCGTAACACATTAAGTTAAAAATTTCTAAGGTCAAAACAGAGGCTAATATGTTATAAAAAAATTTAAAGGCTCCTTTTCAGTCTAATTGAACTTTTTCCAAAAATATGCTAAAACTTTTTATAAAGTTTAATTAAATTTAAACAAAATATTTTTGCTTATTTCTTAACTCATTCTAAGTTTCCTCTCTCAACTTTTTATTTTGAAAACTTCTTCAACTCTTATTTTGAAAAGTTATAAAAATACTACAAAGATCACTGATAAACCCTTTAGGTTCACTAATTCTAACTCTGCCACATTCTTCTACAAAAACCACTAAACAAAATTCTGATTTGTTTTTTAAGGATTTCTATTTTAACTATTGTTCTTTATTACAATAATTTCTCCTAACTTTCTGAAATATGCATACCTTCATTAAAAATGTTGATGATTTTTCATCAAGCACATAATTCACAAAACTCTTAATTTTCTCCATCATGCAGTTATAGCTGAAGTGTTGAAAAAGGGAATGAAATGTATCTTTCTGAGAGATTATCTTAAGCAATTTCCTTTGTAAAGGCTAGAGAAAACAGAACAACACGAAAATCACGAATAAGATACTAGAAATTTTGTCATATATTAAAAAGATCAATTTATAAAAACAAACTCAAAGACACACAAGATTTTAAAAAATCTAATGTTCTAAATGGCCCACTGATTTATTTTCTTTTTAATTTAAAAATACATTTCACACACATAATAAAGGACTTAAAATATTACAAACCTGAGGGTGCAGTATCAAATTTAAGAAATAAGATAGCATCTGTCTAATTACAGTCCTTGTTTATAATAAAGTGGGGGCAGAGAACCCAATAAATGTATCAAGCTTTCTGCTGCAATCTGGAGTGTTATACCCTAGGAACAGGAGCAAATCAGAGACAGACTGAGCCTTTCTAAAACTATGGCTGACGGCCAACTTGGCTCAGTACCTCAAGGGATTAAGGTGATTATCCCCCAACTCTATATATACCAGTAAATGAGAAGATGCTCACCTGCATTAGTCACCAGGGAGACAAAATTAAAACTCAATGTGACACAGTACATATTTGCCAGAATGACTAAAGAGAAAACCACAGATAAGGTCTGTGAAGCAACTGGAACTCTCCTGCAATCGTAGAGGAACTGAGATAATATAAAATTATCTTTGGAAAATTATTCGGCAGCATCTACCAACACTATGTTCAAATCCTGTAATCCATCAGTTCCATTCCTAACTATACATTTTACAAAAGACATGGATAAAGGAATGTAATAGTCCAAAACTGGAAAATGACTCAAATGTCCATCGACAGTAGAATAGATAAATTGTAGTATATTCCTACAATGAAGTAATGAGAATGAACAAACTATTATAAGCAATGCCATGGATCAATCTTACAAATCCAAACTTGCTATATGATTCTATTATAAAAAGTTCAAAAAAAAGTAAAGCCGATCTTAGATGTTATGAGTCAGGCCAGTGGTTGCCCATGAGAAGGTAGGAGGGACAGGGACTGGAGGATGGGGGTGCTGGGATCTTCTGATTCATGATTTTGGGGGCTCATCATACAGATGTGTTCCTTTTGTGAAAACACACCTACTTATACATTTATGCTACATGTACCGTACTAGAGGTATGCTATTGGTCAGTAAGTTCACAGAAAAGCTATCTTTTCTTTGATTAAGCTTACTTTACCCTGATAGCACTTTATTTTTAATATTCAACCTTAATGTTACACAGAGAAACAAAAATGACCAATGATCACATAATAAACCGTGAGAAAAATAAGCAAGTTTTAATGCCTTCCTCATACCTGCGTTGCCCAATATAGTAGCCACTAGCTACACATGGCTACTGAGCCCTTAAAATGTTTAAGCCCTGAAATTAAACAAAAATGTAAAATACATACTAAGTTTTGATGACAGTACATAGAAGGAGTGCAAAATATTTCATCAATACATTTTTATACTAATTAAATGTTTAAAATGATTTTAAAATATTAAAAAAATAGTGGGTTCAATGTTATTAAAATTAATTCCACTTGTTTCTTTCTAGTTTTTTAATGCAGCTACCAGAACATTTAAAATCACATATGTGACTTGCATTGTACTTCTATTGGACAGCAGTGTTCTATACACCGTTCTTGTTCTCCTCCTACGTTCTTTCAATTTTCCTCATTCCATACAAATAGTTCTAAAATTCTGCTTTTAATTTAAACAATTACCGTATGTGAGCCATCAAATATTCTTTCAAAGACTTCTTCTGCTTCCTTAAAATTGCCACTTTCCATGCAAACAGCTATAGCCTAAAAGATAGGATGACAAATATATATCTTACATTGCTTTTTGAAATACTCAATTGTTGTTTAATACTGAAATAACTACGGTATTTTTCCAACTATAAGATGCACTCCCCCCCAAATTTGGGAGGAAAAGGGGGGTGTATCTTATAGTCAGAATGTAGCTTACCTGGCTTGCTGTGTGGAAGGGGGGGTGGCAACCTATGTTATTTATGTTATTAAATATTCTACCACATTTTTTGCTTCAAAAATTTTTTTCCTATTTTCCTCCTCTAAAACCTAGGTACGTCTTATGGTCCAGTGTGTCTTATAGTCCAAAAAATTTGGTACTTCATTTAAAATATTTTTATGTAGTTTATATGATCTTACCTATAAGTGGAATCTAATCAACAAAACAAATAAGCAAGCAAAATAGAACCAGAGACACTGAAATAAAGAACAAACTGACAGGAACCAGAGGGGAGGGGGGAGGGAAATAACAAGGGAAAGATAGGAAAGGGTCCTCATCTAAAAACATGTATAAAGGACCCATGGACAAAGATAAGGGTGGGGAGGGTGGTGGAGGGAAAATAGAGGCAACTATAGTTGAACAACAATAAAAATAGAAAAAGTGACAAAAATAAATACAATTTTTTTTCTAATTTAAGAATTTTGATTTGATAAATTATCTAAAATATTTATCAAAGATAAAGTAACTTGTTTGAAAAGACATGAAAAATTTCATATATACTAATAAATACGCAGCACTGCATCTCTAATTTAGGTCAAATTAAAGGCAAGTATTAGTAAATAAATTAGAAGCTACACTACGTACATTTAGGACACACTTAAGTATTTTGAGCAAAAGGGAAATGAGAGGGGAACTAGATGACATTTGTGAAGATTAGGATATATAAAATCTGCTAGAGAGGATACCTGGAAAGTCTCTAATAGAAACCTAGGAAGCCAGATGCTTTTCAGTAATCATTTTATAAATTCCCCTTTTTGATACCATATGTGGTAAGATATGGGACCACTATTACCATCTAAGTAGCTTTATAAACTTGGACAAATTATTTAGCCTCTTGATGACTCCTTTTCCCTATATGTAACAGGGTGGAAATAAAAATACCTACTTCATAGGTTTGTTTTTAGAGTCAGAGAGTTTTATATGAAAATACTTAGAATAGTACCTGGTAAATAGTAAGCAATATAGTACATGTTTGTTGTATGTTTTATGGTAACCCACTTAACTTTTCACTGGTATATTAACAAAGGCCTGCTTCCACTAGAAAACCCCCAAATTGGGATAACATGACAAATCTCCTTGCCTTGCATTGAAATTCTTTAAAAAAGAAGCAGTCATTTTCCTGTCCATTCTCTTCAGGTCTTGATTCTACCTGATAGTCACTATATTATCAATAATTAATTTGTGGAGAGGTGGGATACAACCTGAATTTTCCCTCCTACCCAACAGTAAAACATTTTTTTTTTAATGTGGAAAAGTTAATTTTTCTAACAAAATTCCTCTTAGAAAAACTTTTCTCTGCTCTAACATCTTTGAGTGGTGTTTTTGGCTTATCACTCTTTCTTTTAAAGTTTTACTGTCTTTAAAAAAAATCCTCAACTGAGAATGTGTATTATTTTCTTTTTAGAGAAAATGGAAGGGGGAGAGAGAGAAAAATATCAATGTGAGAGAAAAACCAATTGGTTGCCTCCTGTAACCACCCTGACCAGGGATCAAACCTGGTACGGTCAGAGCAGCCTAGGTATGTGCTCTGACCAGTAATCAAACCCACAGCCTTTTGGTGTACAGGATGATGCCTCAACTAACTGGGCCACCTGACTAGGGCTGGCTTATTACTCTCTAATAGGCTACTCCTGAAACTCTCTCTACATAGTTAAAACTTTACATTCTCTTGATCACAAAAATCTGTTGATGTTTTAAATCAAATATTCTACTTTTTTCATATTTATAATCTTTAAATAAAAACTGAGAGGGCACAAACCTCAAGTTTTTCAAACTGCTTAATGGTCTTTAAATATATGTGGCACATTTTCCTAAGTGTGGACAATAAATACGTAGTTGGCAAACACTGAGTCCTAGCTCTTAGAGCTCATGTCAAGACTATAAACCAAAGGTTTTCTAAAGGAAATGATTACATTAAATTTTACTCTGGGTTTAGTGCCCAACTTCTATTAGAGTGGCTCTTAATTTCTTTAGATGTTGTATTTTCATTTTTTAGTAAAGTAGCAAACAATGATAAACACACAGTAATACTCATACCTGAATTTTAATTAAATTCTGTATTTCTTCATGAAATTTGTCATGTTCCTTTTCAATTGAATCCCAAATCATCAGGGCTGATTCCAAGGGTGTAATTCGTTCATCAGTTTCAAACTGTGCATCTTTTAAAACCAGAACAAAAATAAATAACTTCGAAAGCTAAGTAGAACCTTACTTTGTCACTTAAGAAAATTCATTTATTTATTTATTTACTGAATGTGTACTACCTGCTAGGCAGTGCTCTTGCATATACCTGTTTAGGGAAGTGATCTAATATTCCAAGTTAATTTCCTTATTAAAATCAACTTTAACAATGGAAAAAGCTAGATGAGTTTACAGAACATTTAAAGTTTTTCTTTCTTTTTTTACAAAGATTATTTATTAATGTATTTTTAGGGAGTGGACAGGGAGGGGAAAGATAGGAAGAGAAATATCAATGTGTGTTTGCCTCTCGTGCACCCCCCTGGGACCTGGTTCACAACACAGGCATGTGCCCTGACTGGGAATCGAACCAGTGACCATTTGGTTCACAGGCCAGCACTCAATCCACTGAGCCACACCAGCCAAGCTATTTAAAGCTTTTCTTTACTAAAATATTAATTTGATAAGCTAGAATAGATTATACACTGCATAAGGTGTCATGGTAACAGAATTCTTAAATGGTTCATAAGTCTAACTGCATCATAACAAACCTCTAGAGCACAAAATTTGTTTATTTTGAATTTGATTTTAGCATAAACTACTTGAAATTCTTGTTATATATTTTGTGGTTATTTTAAATAAGATCTTTCAAAAAGTTATTTCTCTACCAACATTTTTCCAATCACCAAGGCTTTAAAAACCTAGCCTTAGCTGGTGTAGCTCAGTGGATTGAGTGGTGCAGAGGGTCACCGATTCAATTCCTGGTCAGGGCACAGGCCTGAGTTGTGGACCAGGTCCCCAACTGGGGACGTGTAATAGGCGATCACACATTTTTGTTTCTCTTCCTCTCTTTCTCCCTCCCTTCTCCATTCTCTGTAAATAGATAAATAAATCTTCAAAAAATACCTAAGGAGTCACTGTTTTATTCCCTTTCTCATCACCATATCCTGCATCTTGCAAAACACAGTATAGTGGTTTCAGAAACTTGATTTTGGAGTTTACTCCAGACTCTATCATTACCTCTTTAGTGCTAAAAAAGTTACTTCACCTTTCTAAGCCTCACTTTTCTCACCTACAAAATGGTGAAAATAAATATTGTCTCATAGGACTTATGTAAATATTTAGTAAGATAGTATTTGTACTACAGAATTTTAATCAGGTTATTCTGATCAAAGATTCACAGTGGCTGGTAAACTACTTAGTAAATTACATACAAACATCTCAATCTGACATTTAGATAGAACCTTCACTATAATCTATAATCTACACGTATAATCTATATAATTCATTTATTTAATAAATATTGACCACTCCCTATATGTAGATGCTAGACTAAAAACTAAAAATATCTTAGTGAATAAGACAAAGTAGATATTCACTAATAATTTGCTAAATTATTAACACATAATTTAACTTCAGAGTGATATGGGCTAGTAAGAAAAAAAAGGTACTAGGAATCGAGAATGATGGGGCAGGGGCTCTTTCAGACAGAGAAGTTAGGAAAAGCCTCTTTGAGGAAGTGACAGTGGGGCCAAGATCAGCATACTGTGAAACAGAAGCAGCAAAGATGTACAGGAAAAACACTCCACAGGGCATAGCAAGTACAAAGGCCCTGAGGAGCTTGGCATTCAAAAGATAGGAGGTCAGTCTGCTAAGAGTAATAGTGGGCAAATAGGACACATGTCATCAGAGATGACAGGGGGAGGAAGTAAATGTCTGTTTCAGAACTTCGAATGTAGAATGAACAAGGCCTGCTGGTGGATTGGATGCGGAGTGTGAGAAAAACAAGGAACTCTCTCAAACTTGAGAAAGGTTTTAACAACTGGATAAATGGTGCTGCCATTTACTGACACAGGAACCCTTGGTGAGGAGCAAGTTTCGGGGAGTTAAGGATGCAGATCACTTCTACTATCCAAAAACGATAAAAACAAACAAACAAACAAACAAACAAACAAACAAACAAACAAACAAAATACAAGACAAGACAAATAAAAAAAAAAGACTTCTATTATCCAGGTAACCTACGGTCCATTCTTCAAATAACTCAAATGTTTGTTTTATATAGAATACTGTTTTTACATTCTTATGAAATCCATCAATCCTTTTAGGTTTAGAGCAAACTCTACCTCATTCCTGAATTCTGTCCTTACTCTAGCTAAGTGACTAGGAGATATCTTTTCTCTAAAATCTCTGTATGGTCATTCCTATCTTTGTTATACTGTGCAATGTTTTTTACTTACACGTATTTCAACAATCCTATTAGCATTTAAGTGTCTTGAAGGCAGAAAACCTCTCATACTACAATGCATGACGATTATATTTGAAATTTTGAGGTTAGGAGCTACACAGTATATTCCTCTCAAACCCTGTACTTTCTGGTACCCTAGTAGTTCCATGGCAACTATGTAAAAATAAACATACCGAAGAGAACTGTGAAAGGCACATCGATTTTTTTCTTTTGCAAAATTAGAGGAAGCATGCAATTTAATACTAGCAGTTTCCATGATTTCTACTTTACTTCCTGTAGTCCTCTCCTAATTGTTTCACCAACATTTTTGATATAAAAATATATTCACTCATATACTAAGTCTCTTTCTAGTCCAGGCTCTGTGCCAGGTTCTTAGAATACAAAGATGAAGAAGAAAAAGTTTCTGCCCTTGTGGAACTCCCATGCTATGAAGGAAGACATGTAGACAAATCTATGTGACTAGGACTTTACTAGAATCACACAGGGTGGGGAAAAGTAGGTTTACAGTTGTTTGTATGGAAAAAAGACAGTAACTAATAAATAATACAAAAATAAACTCTGTGTTTTGCATATTCTCAACTATAAGCCCACTTTTCCCATATATTATGCCAGTGGTTTTCAACTCTAGGTATACCTCCGAATCATCTGAGGAACTTTTAAAAATTACTGATGCCTAAGCCTACCCCAGAGAATGATTTAATTAGTATAGGGGAGAGGTCATGCATCTCTATTTTCTAAAAACTGTCTAGGAGAGACTAGTGTATTTGAGGCAAAGAGTATTAGATCTAAGAAGGGATATTTCTTTAGAAAATATCTCAGCATTCTTATGAAATGTTCTCATTTCCCTTCCTCAAAGAGGAATCATCTGAACTGAGTCATTAAATACAAACAGAAGATAACCAAGAGAAGAGGACAAAAATGGAAAGAAAATATTTCAGAAGATGGAGCAGAAGACAAGGAAGGTGTACAAAAGATATTCAAATTCCTAGTTAATATTTTATGTGTCAGGCACTGTGCTAAGTGCTTAACATCCAGTATCTCCTTTGTTCACACAATTTCCTTAGCAGAGTACACAATAAAAAAGGGGCACAATATTATTAACCTTGTTTTTTAAAGGAGAACCCAATATCTGCAAACTTTACACAGCTAGCAAGCAGTAGAAGCAGACAGCAGAACCCTTAAAAAGTACTATGTCTTAACAAAGGTACATTCCAGGAATAACAAGACAGCTGGTATGAGCAAAGTACATGTAAAGCATGAAGTAAAAATGCAAAGGCAGATTGCCTAATCCTTGTTCATTTCATATCTGCTTTCTTTCTTTTAACAGCTATCTTTCCTAATAAGTCCCAACTGACATTACTAACCCCTGTCACTAATCTATCTGCCTTCTTTCTTATAACTGAGATATAAAATAAATGTTTATGTTAGATCTTCAAAAAATTTACAGTGTAACCTTTCAGGTAGGATATGGGATACTGCAGCAGGCCAACACTCCCACAACTAGAAAAAAACTGGATAAATTGCAGTCGTGTCACTATGGCATGGGATAGCTGCAGAAGCAATGAGGACATGATGAACCACAGTTCCAATGGGAGAGGTGAGGTGTCCTGAGGTGAGCTGACGCTTTGTAGCATTTTCTTTCCTGAGCTCATTTGCTATGCAGGCCGAGAATCCAGTGTATTTCAGACAGAGAGATTTTACCGGGGGTAAGAGAAATGAAAAAAGCTTCTGGTGGTTTCCTCGGGGCTAGCTTGGTGGACTGGAAACTAGAAAACCTGAAAACAAATGTTTTTCCTCCACAGAACATTTGCTGAGTTCTGGGACAGTGTAGGAAGCTGGGTGGAAAGGTAGGGAAATCTCCCAGAGTTGCATGGATCTTAAGATATAAAGTTTCATAAAAAGAGAAGCAAAAAAACATTTCCTCTTCACGGCATTTGCCATATTTTAAAGCTATGTGGGGCAGAAGACTAAAGCTAACATGGTAGCCCCCAGCTATATGCAATTATTTAGCAGTTAAAATACGCTAGTCCAAACTGAGATGTGTTTTAAGTATAAAATACACACTAGATTTCAAAGACTTACTGCAAAAAAAAGGGGGTAAAAGATCTCATTAACATATTTTATATTGATATGTTGGTACATATTTTGGAAATATTGGGTTAAATAAGATATTGCTAAAATTAATTCCATGGTAATTTATTTAATGTATCATCTTCTTTATGATTATAAAGTATCTGCCATCATTGTCTTGTTACCTTTTTTGTCCTGAAATCTGTTTTGTCTGATACAAGCATGCTATACCTGCTTTTTTCTGGGTGCCATTTGGAGTATCATTTTCCAGCCCTTCATTTTTCTAAATACTTTACTTAATGTTGCTATTGCAAAACTTTCCATTACATATGAGGCCCACTATATGCTTGTATTTCTATCAGGCAGTGTTGATGTAAAACAAGCAATAAAAAAATGCAAAAGGATATGTATAGTTGAAAAATCCATAAGTAAATTAAAATGAAATTTAAAATGCATCTCACTTGAGTCCGTTAACAGTGAAATATATTTATTCTTGGTAACAGTCTCTGGCCTATTGTATCTAAGATACACTCAAAACAGGATTCTGGTGAATTTAAACTATGGGGGTCACACACAAAATCTGAGTTTTGTACACTCTTTTTTGGGGAGGAAAGGAAGGAGGGAAAATAAGATATACTGAATAAATGCTGTATGTGAAGCGCAGCTGACCACTGCAGAATATTTGGTTACATTTAACTGCAAAACAACTCTCTTAACAACCATCTTAACTTACTGTCTGCACGGTTAGAAATTCTCCAATTGTGTCCATATTAGCCCGTTTTTTCCTTCAGCAACAGGCCCAGACCCACCTATAATTCTGTCTTTCTCACATCTCCTCTACCTCTAGTCCTGTACACTTATGAGTCCTGGCACTGACTCCAGACCTAACCAACAAAGCATATATATTACACGAGCCAGATGGATTAGTGAGGGCCTTGGGAATAGTATTAATACACTGGGATTTCATGTAATACATGTTCATAAGTAAGCAGTTTCATGTGAGTACTGCCTACTGCTTGTATAAGCATTGTACAAACCAATATAAATATGTAACTATTTGCATCAAAAGATCCTTTAAATGACTATGGTATAATATTCACCATTATCGATAAACTGAATCAGGCATGTCCATTAGAATCTAAAATGAACTTTGGGGACATGGGACAGAGACATTATAGCTGTAAATCATTTCCCTTTTATCAGTAAGTGCTGAAATCAAGTAAGAGGTTTCAAATATCATAGTTGCTAGTAAAAAATGGAGTGTGCATAACAGGATGAGTCACACAAAAGCAGTCAAAGAACATATATGTATAATCCCTGGATGCAGACATTGTGGTGATGGCCAGAGGGAAGGGGAAGTGGAGACTGGGAGGAGGAAGCCAAGGGGGGGTGGGGACATCTTTAATAGTGTCAACAATAAAAATAAAGAAAAACATTAAATTACAAACGTAAATTAAAATCTCCAACGTACAGTCTGTGACGCGTGGGACCCTGACAACAGCATCAGAATCACCTGGGAACTTACAGGATCTGTAACTCCAGGGCCCCTCAACAGTCCTATTGCACATCCACAGAGGGGAAAGGGACTCAGCATTCTGGTTTTTTTTTTCCAACAAGTTTTCTAATAATTCTGAAACGTGCTAAAGTTTGAGAACCAATGCTCTAAGAATATAGGGACTATAGTTCTTTTACTTGCTTTAGAAATCCTTGTGTGTAGACATACATGACAAATACATATGGGCAAACACTCAAAAACAAAGGACAGCTCTCCTCCATTTCTCCTCATTGTCTTACTTTAGACATGGATTGAAATATTTCCAATATAAGATAAAAACACATATTTACCAAGAGCTTTTCCTGCTGCAATTCTTGTCAAAAATTGACATATGTATACAGTTCTTAATTGATAAGCTGTTAGACTGGATAATCCATGAATAATAGCTGAAAAAGAAAACAGTGAATTTTATTAAAACATTAAAAAAATCCTTGCTCTGACTTGTGTGGCTCAGTTGGTTGGGCATTATCCCAAAAAGTGAAAGGGTACTCATTTAATTCCAGTCAGGGCACATGCCTGGGTCGGGGCTGGTCCTCGTTTGTAGTGCATGCGAGAGCCAACATATTGATGTTTCTCTCCCTTTCTCCCTACCTGCCCCCTCTCTAAATAAAAAAAAATAAAATCTTAAAAACAAACAAACAAACAAATAAAAGAGTCTCCACTAGCCTTGCAACCAGGGGAGCAATGGGCAGAGGCAGCTCATCCTGGGCTAACCCCCTGAACCTGTCTCCAAAGCCCCGTTTTCTCTGATTCTGCACTGAGCTAATAGCAGCCCCACCAAGGCTCATTTCTTTCCTATAACATTTCTGGAGAGACAAAGCAGTTCCACCTAGGCTCTCTCTTGTCCTAAGTCCTCCCTATTTCACTGTCCCTAGCTTTAATAAACATATTCTCAAAAATAAAAACAAAAATCAGAACAAGAAGACAGGAATAAACACTTGTAAAATAAAGCTGGTATTTCATATGTAGAACAATAAATATTTAAAGCTACTTTCACAGGTAGCACTTAATGGAAAGGAAGCTACAGATGCAAATTATAAAATGTGTCAAGTCACTATCTGGAAGCTTATTCTGTGCCTTCAAATTTGTAATATTAGAGGAAACATTTTATATTATTTCTGTCAAGGTTTCGGTGAAGTGAGTCTGTTCAGTTTCCGAGCTTTATTTTAAAAATGTATTTATTTATACTAATTTCCCAAATATCTGAATACTGACCAGATGTTATAGTAGACAGTGAGTATATACAGTGGTGAGTAAACCATAATCCTGGACCATGGAGCAATGAAAGACAAATGAGTGAACAACTAAAGTAAAAATGTGGAGGAAACTGAAAAAGGTTAAGTATAGAATGCTATGGAAGCATATAACAAAGAAATGTTTTCAGGGAAGTCTTCTCTACGGAAATAATGTTTAAGACCTAAAGGTGCCATTATATAATACACCACCTAGGACAGACTTGGTATATATAAAAACCAAAAAGCAGTCCAGCAGGCACTAAGCAGATAAGACAAATAAATCCATTTCCTCAATTCTAAAATGCCATAATCTTATAATATACCAGCAATTACCGAGGGGGAGAAGGGGAGTGTGCAAATATAGCCACAAGATATTAAATAGGATTCAAAAACAGTGCAAAATTTAAATAAAATTTAAACACAATTTATTCAATATTTACTGAACATCTACTTCTAGCCAATATTAGGAACTGATGACTGAATGGTGAGATATCCAGCTGGTCCCTGCCCCTCACGATGGTTTTAGTCTAAAACAGCACAAATTAAACTCTACACACCATCATCCTTCTGCACAAAAAAACCCCTACTCTGATTGAACCTAGCTACCTGCTTCTTCCATACCTGTGCCAAACACTGCTGGCAGAAAAATGCATTAGGAGGGAGGATCTAATAACTATCAACAATAACACTATATTTAAGCACTTATAACACCAGGCACTACTCTAAGTACTTTATACCAGTGGTTTTCAACTGGGGGGTGATTTTGTCTCTTAGAAAACATTTAGTGTGACAATAAACTCAACTATTAACTACTGAATCTAAAATAACAAAAACAAAGCAAACTAGAACAGGAACAGAATCACAGAAATGGGAGATCACACGGAGGGTTACCATCAGGGAGTGGGTAGAATGGGGAAAAGGGCACAGGGAATAAGAAGCATAATTGGTAGGTACAAAACAGACAGGAGGAGTTAAGAACAGGATAGGAAATGGAGAAGCCAAAGAACTTATATGTACAACCCATGGACATGAACTAAGGTGGGATGCAATGCTGGAGGGAATGGAAGTACTGGGTAGAGGGAGATAAAGGGGATTAAAAAATGGGGTAGCTGTAAAAGCATAATCAATAAAATATACTTAAAAAAAAAGAAAACATTTAGCAATGTCTGGAGCCTTTTTGGTAGTCATGGGTGGAAGGGGGTGCTAATGGCACCTAGTAGGTGAGGTCAGGAGTGCTATTAAATATCCTATAATGCACAGGGGCACCTGCATCCCCCCATGCCCCTCAATCCTCATGCACACACAAAACAAAGAATTATATAAGGAGCAAAGTGTCATAAGTGCTGAGGTTGAGAAACCTTGCTTTACACATATCCTTTCATTTGGTTCTCTCGACAGCCCTCTGAGGTCATTATTATTATTACCACCATTTTACAAGTTAGGAAATCAAGGTACCAAGAGAGTAAGTACTTGCTTCAGGTCTTACATCTATAAAGTAGCAGAACCAGGAATCAAATTCAGACAATTTACTCTGGAGTTCATATTCTTAATCACTACCCTGCAGTCCGCAGTGCTTCCCACGGTAGGAGACAGGTTAGAAATAAGAATCTGGAAAAGGTGTCATCTGACAGGTGTGAGAACAATTCTGGGTTGGAATGAGAGAGCTAAGAATTTTCTAGACAGCATCAGGTTGTACATTTTTTACACTAATGAAAAGTATAGTAAATGAAATTCTATAGATGAGATAAAACAAGTCCCTTCAGTAAAAAAATGGAATACAGAGACAAAACAATGCTCACAATTTGCTTATCTTCCACTGATTAGCACTATAACTTGAAAAACAGTTCCCTTTTTCTGGGATTCTGTGCCCTTAACCTGAATAAAATCGAAGTGGCCTAGATTATTTCTCTGGTCTTGAGCTAGAACCTTGAAAGGGGTTTTTGTTTTTCATAAATTTATTTCTGAGAATGGTTTTAAATGTACAGAATTATTGTGAAAAACAGTAGAGGTGCCATATACCCTCTACAGTTTCTCCTATTATTTTTTTAAAGATTTTGTTTACTTATTGTTAGAGAGGGGAAGGGAGAAAGAAAGAGGGAGAGAAACATCGATTGGTAGCCTCCTGCATACCTCCAAAATGGGGACCTGGCCAACAACCCAGGCAGGGGCCCTAACTGGGAATCGAACCAGCAACCTTTCAGTTTGCAACTTGGTGCTAAATCCACTGAGCCACACCAGCCAGGGCAGTTTCCCCAATTACTAACATCTTATATTAGTTTGACATCTTACATATGTTAATGAACTGACATTGATGCACTAACTGAAGTCCATGCTTTATGCAGATTTCCTTAGTCTTTACAATGCCCTTTTTCTACAAGATTCCATCCATCTAAGGCACTGCATTACATTTAGTCCTTAAACATTCCTTGGTTTTGATGACCTTGACAGTTTTGAGTACTGTACTAGGATATGTCTGATTTTTTACCCCTCATGATTAGACTGGAGTTATGGGGCTTGAGGAAGAAAACCACAGAGGTAAAGTTTCATTTTCATCATATTACATCAAGTGTACATATTACCAAGTATCACTGCTGAGGCCTACCTTGATCGTCTGAGTGAGGTAGTTTATCAGGTTTCTTTACTGTACTTTACTCTTTCTTTCCCTCCCCATCCTGCACTCTTCAGAAGAATGTCCCTGTGTAAAGTCCCCACTTAAGAAATGGGTGGTCATGCTCTACCTCCTTGATGACAGGGTAGCTGCATAAAATACTTGAAATTCTTCATGGGAAATCTGCCTCTTCTCCCATTTATTTAATTATTCCATCATTTATTTACATCTGTATGGGCTCATGGATATTTATTTTATACTTTGGGTTATAATCTAATACTTTTTTATTTTCCTTTTTTTATTATTTATTTTTTAAAATATATTTTATTGATTATGCCATTACAGTTGTCCCATTCATTCCCCTCTACCCTGCACACCCCTCCCACCCACATTCCCCCCTTTTAGTTCATGTCCATGTGTCACAGGTTCTTTAGTTTCTACATTTCCCATACTATTCTTGCCTCCCCATCTATTTTCTACCTACCCTTTATGCTACTTATTTCTGTACCTTCTCCCTGCTTCTCCTCCTCCCACCCCCATGTTGCTAACCCTCCATGTGATCTTCACTTCTATGGTTCTGCTCCTGATCTAACTGTCCTCTTAGTTTGCTTTTGTTTTAGGTGTGGTTCTTAATAACTGTGAGTTTGCTGACCTTTCACTGTTCATATTTTTTATCCTCTTTTTCTTAGATAAGTCCCTTTAACATTTCATATAATAAGAGCTCGGTGATGATGGACTCCTTGAATTTGATCTTATCTGAGAAGCACTTTATCTGCCCTTCCATGTTAAATGAAAGCTTTGCTGGATAGAGCAATCTTGGATGTAAGTCTTTGGATTTCATGACCTGGTACACTTCTTTCCAGCCCCATCTTGCCTGTAAGGTCTCTTTTGAGAATCAGCTGACAGTCTGATGGCAAATCCTTTGTAGGTGACTGTCCCCTTATCTCTTGCTGCTTCTAAGATTCTCTCCTTCATTTTAATCTTGGGTAATGTAATTATGATGTGCCTTGGTGTGTTCCTCCTTGGGTCTACCTTCTTTGGGACTCTGAGCTTCCTGGACTTTCTGGAAGTCTATTTCCTTTGCCAGAATCGGGAAGTTCTCCTTTATTATTTTTTTTTCAAATAAGTTTTCCACTTGTTGCTCTTCCTCTTCTCCTTCTGGTACCCCTATAATTCGGATGTTGGAACGTTTAAAGATGTCCTGGAGGTTCCTAAGCCTCTCCTCCTTTTTTTTGAATTCTTGTTTCTTCATTCTTTTGTTTGGTTGTTTCTTCCTTCTGGTCCACTCCACTGATTTTGGTCTTGTTTTCTTTCCATTACTATTGGTTCCCTGTGCATTTTGCTTAGTGTAGCCTTCATTTTTTCATCTAATTTGAGACCAAAATCAACCAGTTCTGTGAGCATCCTGATCACCAGTGCTTTAAACTGTGCATCTGATAGGTTAGCTATCTCTTGGTCACTTAGAAGTATTGGCTGTGGGACTTTGAGCTGTTCTTCTGCTTGAGCCATGCTTTGGTCTGTTTGCATCTGTTACGTATGAGGGGTGGAGGCTTAGGTGTTCACCAGGGTGGGGCAACCCAAGTAGCTGGGTTGTGATGCTGTATGTGGGGGTGGGGTCAGAGAGGGAGTAATGGCACTTGTTTCCCTCTCCCTCAGATTTCAGTCCCTTCTGCAGCTTCCTACAAGCAAATTGGGCCCTTCCAGTGCTGGTTCCAGGGTGTGTGGGCTTGAGTACATTCTAGGATCCTGTGGGTCTCCCCAATGAACTCTCCTGTGAGGCTGGGAGCCTCTCCCGGCACCTCAACCACCAAAAGTTTTCCCAGTTGGTGCTTTTAGGCTTTATTTCCCATCAATGGGGCCATGAGTTGTGCGGTCTGTCTCACTGACTGTTTTTAAACCTGTCTGGTTTATCTGTGCACGAATGTGTGTCCGCAGTCATCCAGCTGCCTTGTGAGCCTTACTGGGTTTTCCTCTCTTGCCTGCCCGGGTCACTAACCACCACTTTTTCCTGCCTGGACCCCTCTTACTGGTCTGGATGAATAGTTTGTTGTTGTCGGACTTTGGTACAGTTCAATTTTCTGTCTGTTTTGCTTGTGTTTTTGTTTCTAAATCTTTGTTGTCCTTAAATTTGGTTGTGCAAGGAGGTTCAGTGTTTCCACCTACACCTCTATCTTGGCTGGAAGTCCCTGGGGAGTCACTCTTTATTTTCTTATCCACGTTGTTTCAGCTTTAGCCTTTAGGGAGCTCTTGCACTCAGTATCCCCACCGATATGGGTATTTTTGCTTTGTCTTTAGCATTTCCTTACTTTTTGGCACAAAAATACTCCAGGTTCATCTTGTACATTTCCTGTCCCATTATTATAATCAGGCCATTTCTCCAAAGAGATCTGGTTCCCCTTATGGGTAAACAGTATTGGGAACCAAGACTTGAGAGGTAGGTGTACTTGTTACGAGGGGTACACTGAGCCTATAACTTTTCATCTAACAGAACAAGGAAATTAATGAGAATAGTACCTGTGTCCATACATTTATAAAAATATGCATATGGCCCTGGCTGGTGTGCCTCAATAGGCTGAGTGTTGGACTTGGAAAAGAAAGGTTGCCTGTTCCATTCTCAGTTAGGGCATATGCCTGAGTTGCAGGCCAAGTCCCTTTTTTGGGTCACGGAGAGACAATTGATCCATGTCTCTCTCACACATCGATGTTTCTCTCTTTTTCTCCTTCCCTTCCTCTAAAAATAATTAAAATCTTTAACAAAATATTCATCTATAAGTGGAACCTAATCAACAAAACAGGCAAGCAAACTATAACCAGAGACATTGAAATTAAGAACAATCTGACAGTAACCAGAGGGGAGGTGGGCGGAAAAGGGGAGGGGTTTTCAGGAAAATGTATAAAGGACACGTGAACAAAACCAAAGGAGGGTAGGATCAAGGGTGGGAAGTGGGGATGGCTGTGGTGGGTGAGAGTGGTGGGGGGAAAATGGAGACAAGTGTACTTTAACAACAATAAAACAAATGTGGGGGAAAATGAAATCAACCCAATAAAATTATCCTCTGGTGAGGATTTAAAAAATATGCAGATGTATTTCTATATATAGCCATCGATATCTATTTTAAGCTAAATGAGTTCATGCTGATGTTTCCAACTGAAATTCATCACCATGTAGATAATTCTAGTCTCTTCCCCAAAGAGGACTTTTTAAATAATTCTAATTATGGTGCACTGGGATCATTCCAGGACTTATCTTTTGTGACTTAAATTAATGGCTCTAGTGGTATCTGTGATAAGTCAGAGGAAAGATTCTTGAATTGGATGATAGGACATGGGTCCAGGACACCCTTTAAAAGGGGTTAAAAACTATCAATGTTTTAGGTTGCTTAACTAGTTTACTTTTCTATACACTGAGATTATTTGCCTAACTCATGGGATTGACATGAAGACGAACTGTATCAATATAGTTTTCTTAAGTATTTCTATTTAGTATTTTCTTGGGACTGCATTCAGCTGCAATAAGTTGAATGCCAATTCTGTAATAAATACTAGAGCATCTCTAACTGCACAGAAACTTCAATTCTTTAATATGACCTTTTCTCCTTTCTTTCTTTGTGATTCAAACTGGCCTCACTGCCCCTAGAAGTGTTGCAGATGTGGCTGCTGTGTCACATTTTTGTCATTAGGTGGCATACACTCAGCATTCTGGCTGGGATCTGGATGATCAACAATCTGACACTTAGAGAAAAAAAATAAAACTGGCCTCCCTCAGCATCCTGATTCACCTGCCTTCTTCTCCCTTAATCATTGAGCCCTCAAGACAGTGAGGTCCTGGCTGGCATCAAATAAACTTAGGAATCCATCAGGTGGCTAACATCAGAACCAGAGGCACTGATCAGCGACCCCTACCCTAGCATTCACCAAACAAGAGAGACCACAATCCTAACTTTTCCTTAATCACCTTGATTAATAATGACCCATGGCTTGGAAGCAATTGGGAAGCCAGGTATTGGAACATTAGCTCATCTGCTTTCTGGCTTGGACCACTTTCTAAAAACAAACCCTTACTTTACTTTCCTTGCTGCAAACTTGTTTATGACTTACTGGGCTTTGATACAAGCAGGCAAGCAGACTCCCTAGTACGGTAATGCATCTTTCCTGTTACCATTCAAAACGCCAAGGGCAGTCTTCTCTATGTCTTTGTTCATCATTTACGGGCAGCAGATTTCATTGACTGTTACTATCATTCTGAACCCTACAATACTGAGCAGCAGGCCAAAAGCGGTTTAAGTAGCTCACAAATTAACAGAAAACACCGAGGCCTAGATCACTTGGAGATCACAATGACTGCAGACTGCCATATGAGAAATACCTGAGTCGAAAGAAAAAAAATATTATGCCAACAAGACAAAAGGAATTGAACACTGGGTTGGGTGCGATTTTGTACATTTGAACTCATTTAATCCTGTATCAACTCTAAACAGGGTCTTATTCCTACTTTTCTCAGAAAAACTTAGAATCGTAGAAAAACTGAGGAGCTGACAATAGGCGGATGCAAAATTCCAGCAAACAGTTCAGTCACGCCTTTTGTGCCGATCCCTCAGGGGGTCAGCGCGGCAAACTAGGCCTCGGCCGGCCGCCCGCCCACCGCGTACCCGGCACTCACCCTCGGCGCTGTCGCGCGTCCGGTGGAAGTCCTCGGAGCGGTCGTCTCGGAAAGCTCGGCAGAGAGAGAGGCAGAGGAAATCCAGCATCCAGCCACCAGCTACCGCCTCGACCTCCGCCACCGTGTCCGCATCCTTCTCTTCCTCCGGGGCCCCCATCTCAGCCTGACACTCGAGCAGTTCCTGGCATTCGAATGACTCCTCATTATCGTTCGCCCTTTCCCACAGCAGCTCCTCCGAGGGTCCCGCATCCTCCCCGTCTGCACGCCCCCGGGAGCTAGGAGACCCTCCGGCACTACAACCCGCCATATTCCAACACTGGCGCGGGTTTTGCTGCTTTGAACACTGAGCGACGATTGGCTTGTGGTGGAGGGAGGGGGGTGGTGCCACGGCAGACTCTTCCGCTGGGGATTCACCAATCACACCTCCAGGGTGGGCTAGCGGCTCGAGCCTGATTTTCGATTGGCCTAGACTTGTCTTGCGTGGGGAAGTTAATTTCCTGTCACTAGAGCGCCGGGCTTTTTTTGGTAAAAGAGGTAACTCCAGGGTGGGAGCCGGGAGACAAGCCTAAGACCTGAGTGATTGGAACTGACTCTGTTATTCTAATACTTTAGACCCTAGTATTCACCTAACACTCTACTACGCGAACCCAAACCAAAACTGTTAAGACTGTTTTATATTCGTGCTTCTCCAACGTTAATGTGCATCAGAATAACCCCCCAGGACTTGTTAAACACAAGTTGCGGGGCTTCACCCAAGTATCAGTTCTATAGGTCTGGCTGGCTTCGGGTCCCCGAATTGGCAATTCCAACAAGTTCCCAGGTGATGCTGCGGGAGCTTGTCAGGGGACTACATTTTGATAATCACTACGCTAGAAAAGAAACAAGCTCTACAATGCAGCTTATTCTGAACTTTGAAATTTATCTACAATTTGGTGGTGGTGGGGAGGATGGTTATATTGTGTTTCTCTATGTAGGTGATAGTACACGAGTTTATTCACTTTATGGAAATTCACTAAGCGTGATTTATACACTTTTCAATAATGTGTGTCACATTCGAATAAAAAGTTTACCTTAAAAACCTTACTGTTTATAACACAGCCAACATTATCAAAGCCTTTATGTGTTTTGAATGTACACATTATTGCCTCAAGGCTATAATTTAAATGTTGAGTCATTAAAGCACTTTATTATAGCCATTAAGAAGTCTTAGGTTGGGCCCTGGCCTGGTAGCTCAGTGGTTTGGAGCACTGTCCCCATACACCCATACACCAAGGTTCAGGTTCAGTCGCGGTCAGGGCACATACACGGTCATGGCACATACACGAATCACCTAATGCACAATCAGTTAAAAAATAGAATGCCTAGGTTGAAATGTCTTCTACCTGTTACCCACAAGCTATGTGCCTTAGACAAATTATGCCTCACTTTTTTCTTCTGTGTATTAGGCACAATACTAAAGCCCCCATCATTGGCTTATGGGGAGGATTAAAGGGCTTAATAAATGGAAAGAGTTTAGAAGGAAGCCAGGAATATAGTAAGTGCTCCATTAATACTAGCTGAACAAACAGGACATCTGTGCTACCTGAAAAGAGGGTGATGAGTGAGAAGGGATGCATTCTTCAGGCTCTAACGGTCCCATAGAAAGTCCCATTTTTAAACAACACAGAGGAATAGGGTCTAAGGGAGTGAGGGTTAAGGTGCATTATGAACATAGCAAAGAAACCCCAGGTTTCCAAAGTGAAACTTTTTTTTTTTGTCATGCAAGGCTCTCAAATGGGGCCTGCTTCTTCCTTTCCTCCATGCCTCCTCTTCTTCTTTCCAGTAGGGAGTTAAGGGATTTTCTTAAGTATGTCAACCAATTCATTAAAAGCCATCAAGTAAACATGGCATATTTTTCTGTGGTTTCAACTTACTGAAAAATTTAGGGAAGTGAAACATTTTTTCAATTATGTATAATGAAGTAGAATTTTTAAATGCATATTTTGACTAGGATTTGATCATAATAATTAACAAAATTTGTGTTTAGGGTTACTTCTAGCTATATACTGCATTCTCTGGCCTCTTCCCTTACTGGTATTTTGCTGAAGGGAAATTAAGAAACTGGACTATTTGGGTGGGTCTAAAAGTTATTTTAAAATTCCATCCCAGCAGAAGGTCAGTAATGTAGAGTTTTATTGGGTTGTGGGCCAGAAAAAAAGGCCTGGAGTAGGAGGTCTTTTATTTTTAAAAAATGTAATTTTTAAACCTGCCCATCAGGATAGATGGCAGTTATTCTCCTGAAATAGTTTGACATTGCTTTCATCAGAAAACTCAACTGTGATTAGTGTGACCAGATGCAATAAAACTTATAATATATGAAGTTCCAATAACACTTTAGCCATATATATTTTAATTTAGTGGCATGATAGATAAATCAAACATATAGCACTTCAGTAAAATTTGTATGTATTTGGTAAACACTCTGTGATGGGGAATTTTTTTTTGGCAGAAAAGTTGTAAGGTATCATTCCTTTCATGATTGCTTTTAAGGAAGCAGATACTAGTAGGTCAAGGTAAATGAAGGGGTGGGTGAAAGGAATAATCTTGAGTTTGATGATTTTGAAAGTCACCCTTTGGGTAAAATTAGGAAATTATATGTCTTGCAAACTTGAATTTATACAGAGAGATGTGGTCAGATTACTGGGGAGGAGCAGAGAGGGTCCATAGGAGGAGGTGTCCCAAGGCAATGATAAACAGTCTGGGAAGGGGTTGGCTGAGAAGCTGAATGTCTCCTGTGTGCAAGGAATTATGGGCCAGAAGACTTAAACAGAAGGAGGGCAGAGACTGTCTCTCTTTCTTCTCCTTGAGGATGCTTGGATGATTCTGCTGTACTCACCTATGTTTCCCAAAGGATGGTATTTTAAATGAGAAAAGGAACTCTGAGAATAGTCTAGGATTGGTCTGGCCTGGAAAGGGTGGCAAAGTTATTTTTCTTTGGGGGTTCTAGAGGGAATGGTCTCTGGGGCAGGGGCGTGCCATTCTTCCAAAATTGTGTAGCTTTTGTGTCTTATGTTGTTTTAGTTTGTAAACTAACCTTATGGAAATTAGATACCGTATTTTGCTGTGTATAATGCACTTTAGTACATGAGTTAGTACGTGGGTAGTACTAATTCTGTATCTATAAAAATGTTTTTCATTCTTTTATTTATGCTTATGCATTAAAAGTGCAACTCTAGAAAGCAATAGTGATATCCATATGCAAAATAATACCCTGGAATACAATAATTGATTTTGTTTCTAAATATAAAGCAATAAAAAAGTGAATTAAAAAATTAAAATAAAAGATTTTTTTCCTGAAAGTTTGGGCCCAAAATGTGGATGCACATTATACATGAGAGCACATTATATATGGCAAAATATGGTAATTAAAAACTAACAGGGCAAATGATAGAGGAACTGAAGAGTTAAAAATTTTAGCCTTAATTGATAGGCTTAAGTGATTTAAAGCTGGAACTGAAGAGTTAAAGATTTTAGCCTCGGTGCGGGCGATTAGAGCCGTTGCGCCCCTTCGGCGGACGCGCGGCGGGGGGAGGTTGGGCCAGGGTTCCAAACCCAGGATTGGACCTAGTGAGCAGCCCACCGGGTGAGTGACTACGGAGGAGTCAGTGGGGGAGGCGGTGGCAGCGAGTTGACTGTGGGTGCCCGGTTACGCGGGGTGAGGGAGTGAGCGGGGACTGGCGGCAGCGCCATTTCCCCCCGCTCTGACCACGCCCCCACATACAGCGTCACAACCAAGCGACCTGGGACTCCAAGGCGCCGCTTCTCTCACTTAAAGGGCCAGAACAGACCAAAAATGTCGCAGGGGGACCTCAAAGTCCCGGAGATAAATCTAAGTGACAAAGAAATAGCAAATCTCTCAGACGCACAGTTTAAAACACTGGTCGTCAGCTTCCTCACAGATCTGGTGGACTATAGCCACAAATTAGAGAAACATATGAAGGCTAAATTAAGGGAAATGAATGGAATTCCACAGGAAACCCATAGAGATGAAAAAAAAACTGGGACTCAACTCAATGGAGTAAACCAGAAGGAAGAAAAAAATGATCAATCAGAAAGGAATGAAGAAATAAGAATTCAGAAAAATGAGGAGAAGCTTAGGAACTTCCAGGACATCTATAAACGCTCCAATATCCGAATTATAGGGGTACCAGAAGGGGGAAAGACACAACCACCAGTGGAAAAACTATTTGAACAAATAATAAAAGAAAATTTCCCCAATCTGGCAAAGGAAACAGACTTCCAAGAAATCCAAGAAGCCCAGAGAGTACCAAAAAAGTTGGACTCAAGAAGGAACACACCAAGGCATATCATAATTACATTAGCCAAAATTAAAACGAAGGAGAGAATCCTGGAAGCAGCAAGAGCTAAGGGGACAATCACCTACAAAGGAGTCCCCATCAGGCTGTCAGCAGATTTCTCAAAAGAGACCTTACAGGCAAGAAGGGGCTGGAAAGAAATATTCCAAGTCATGAAAACTAAAGACCTACAACCAAGATTGCTCTACCCAGCAAAACTTTCATTTAGAACGGAAGGACAGATAAGGTGCTTCTCAGATTTCTTTTTAGAATATAAAAAAGAAAAAACCACACAAAAACAAAAAAAAAAAAAAAAAAAAAAAGAAAAAAGGGAGGGGGGAAGGAGAAGGAAAAAAAAAAAGGTAAGGAGAGGGGGGGGGGGGGGGGGGGGGGGGGGGGAAGGAAAAAAAGAAAGAAGAGGAAAAAAGGGAGGGAAAAATATGAAAAAAAAAAAAAAAGGAAAAAATAAAAAAGAAGAGGGGGGGGGGGGGGGGGGGGGGGGAGAGCAAAACAAAAAAAAAAAAAAAAAGATTTTAGCCTCAATTGATAGGCTTAACTGACTAATGCATGTGGAAAACTGTTATTCCAAAATTGTGTAGCTTTTGCATAAACACTCCTTTCCTTTTTCACCTCTGCTTTCAGAATTTTGGACTGGAGGACTTAGGACTGGAGGCCCACCTCTTCTTTCTCTCTGAGAATTAAAGTTAAATAATTAAAGAATTAAAGCTCCCATGCACATCAACTTTTGCTTTTAAGTGCCTAGCTGTATGAAGGCAGCACTGGGTCCTTCCATTTAATGACTTGGGATGTCATAGCACATTCAATTATTCTTCCTCACAAGAAGATTATTTCAAATGGAAAAAGATAATTTTACCTTGTTTAAAAGAAGATAACTGTCCAGGCGGTGCCAAGTCACAGGCATCTCTTGAGACAACTAGCACAAGCAAGAGGAAGCCCCATCACAAGAAACAAAATTATGAATGAGCTAGGGTACCCTGCCAC